TTGTCTCCCGGGGCATCTTGCTTCATCGGAGCACCGTATCTTCCACGCCCTCGCCCCTTGAAGAGGAGCAAAGCCCCACCCCCAGCCCTGGCCAACCAGGTGTGGTCCCGGTGCCTGCGGTGACAGCCGGGTGTGGGGACCTGCGTCGAGAGATGGGCCCCGATTCCAGGACTTGCTGGGGGGACCAGGCTGCCCTGTCCCCTTAGAATCCGACAGTGGGCTGGCCTTTGCTGCAGTGACCAGTTGGATGACACCCAGCTTGCCTGCTAGATGTCCCGGCAGCCTCCAGCCCTGATGTTGCCCAGAGGCTGGAAACCTGGAGCCTGCCCCAGAGTACCTGGCAACTGAGGCTGGAGAAGGCCCACCTGCCCTGGTTTCTCCCCGGAGCACGTGACCGGACTCTGTCTCGACCTGTGTCATTAACTGGGCGCCTTGTTCACGCCCCACCGCTGGAGCGGGACGCCCTTAGAACGTTGCATTTCTCTGTTGTCTTCAAATCCTGCTGAGGGCTTTTTTTGTTTTTTTAATAAATGACTCCTTTCTAGCCTTTGTCACATGAGCCTCACTCTCGGGTGCTGGTCCCAGGGTCAGGGTCGCTCCGCCCTCCTCCCAGGACCCATGAGAGGCACTGGGCTCCTGGTTGCTAGTTTTTTGTGTCTTTAGACGCCAATGTTTCTCCTGCAACAGCTGGCTCTGGGCCTCCTATGAGGTGGGGGTCTTGACACCCCCCCTCCCCGTTCCCCCACACACACTCCTGCGCCTAGCTTGCCAGGCTGTCTGGGGTGGTCCTTGCCAGGTAAGGTTCCCGTGAAGCCTGCTTGCAGCATTTCAGCCTGGGCCAGCCCCCCTCCTTAGTAACTGTCCCCTTTCTGATGTGAGCTAATGGTGTGACAGCATGGCTTATCCAGAGCCCAGCATGTTCCATCACTGATGAGCGCGGCTTCCTGAACAGGGCCAGTTGGTTCTTTGGGGACGGGGGTGGAGGGCTGGGGTGGGGTGTCTGTTCTAGCTGACTTTCATGGCGTGCCAGGTAAGTCACATCATGGAGCAAGCTGTAGCACTAGCTCCCTGTGCAGGCAGGAGGGGTTTTGCCAGTCAAGCGTTCAACACATGCTAGGTCTGCTCGCCACTCGCACAGCCCGTTTCGCTCCGTCAGGCCCAGGTTGTGTGGAGATGCCAGCACAAGGCACAAGAAGCAAGCACGAGAAGGGGAAAGCCCTCCCGGGGAAAGCCTGGTGCCCACCACCCTCCCCCCTCCTTGCATTTCTCTGCAGTTCCCAGCAAGGAACTCATTCCCAGAGCAGAAAGGCTTGGGACTTTCTTACTGAAATGCTACAACATCCTACCCCACTCCCTGTTCTGGGACAGAAAGAAGCTGGTAAGAAGTTTTCATTCGTGCAGAAATTAAAAAACAGAAATGTACTCATCCACTAGATTTCATTTTTCGATTCATAGCAACCCCGTAGGGCAGGGTAGAACTGCCCCCTTTGTGTTTGGGGGCTGTCGTCTATACGGGAACAGAAAGCCCCTTCCTTAGAAGGGCTTAAGGTGGGTTTGAACTGCTGGCTCTGCAGGTAGCAGCCCATTGCACAGCCACTGAGCCACTGGAGCTCAAGCTTCAAACAAAAGCAGACGATCAAGGAGTCATTCCCAACTCCTAGGGAGCCTGCAGGACAGAACTGCCCCTGTGGCTTTCCCGAGACAACCTTGTCACAGGAAGAGAGAACCTTGCCTTTCTCCTACGGAGCAGCTGGTAGTTTTGAACTGCTGGCCTTGAGGCTGCTGGCTTAACACCTAACCCACTGTGTCACCAGGACTCCTGGAGCTCCTTCTAGTTTTAGGCAACTTACAGACTGTCTTCTACCCCTAGGTGGCACCAATGACTGCACATAACTGCTAACCCACAGGTTGGAAGACTACCCACCTGTGGAGGCTCGGAAGCAAGCCCTGGCTCTCTGCACTCATTAAGGTTGAAGCCAGGGAAACCCTGTGGAGCATCTACTCCTGGGGGATTATGGGAAATGGAAGGGTTTCTCCCAAGTTGTCTTCCCCCAAATATATGCGAAACGTAGCTGCTGGCGAATGACTATACACTTGGAGGTCATCAAGAATAGATCAGGGGTCATTCTCCCTAAGAGCTATCAGCCATCTGGAGCAAGCAGACACCACTGTTTATCCCACAACAAGTAGGACCCACTCCCTTCTGATAAGGATAGTAGTTGTCTGTTTCCTTGTAGGAGACACGAGAGAGGTCAAACCCGCCCAAGGATGACCAAGGTTAGGCTGCCATCGTGGATTTAGGGTCCGCCCATCTTGTCACATGTGTACCCCTTGTCCCTCCCATTCCTATGGGCACACCCCTAGCTCATCCCCTTCCTGTCACTCTTATGCCTATCATAGATCCCCTTCCTACGATGTGTATGTCTATTGTACTGCCCCTTCCTGTGACGTGTGGTTACCTGTAATCGTGTCCCCCTATGGAGATATAACCCTTGGTTAGCAATAAAGTAGAGGCTCTCTCTGGTTCTCGCCCCGGGGGGCTCTCCTGCTCTCGCTCCCGAGGCTCGCTCCTGCTCTTGTGGCCGGGCTCCCCCCACGAGGACCACCAAGCGGGGATGAGGTGAGCAAGCTACCATGAACTG